TCTTGGCTCTGGTTCTATCTCGTGGAGGTCCACTCGCTCTTCTTCTGTGCTTGGTTCCACCTGTGAGGCCGAGATCTATGCTGGGGCCATGGCTGCACAGGAGCTACGCTGGCTGACCTACCTGCTGACCGACTTGGGGGAGCGGCCTCGTTCTCCTCCAGTTATGTACGTCGACAATAAGGCAATGCTTGCATTGTGTCGCGAACAGAGACTGGAGCACAAAACGAAGAACATTGCTCTTCGCTACTTCCTTGCGCGTGAGCTGCAGCAGCGTCGTCAGCTCCGCCTTTCCTACGTGGCCTCGCGGGCCAACACTACTGATGTGTTGACCAAGGCCCTTGGGTTTGGTGATCATCAGCGTTTCTTCACCGCTGTTGGGCTTGTGCCCACTCTGCCTCACCTGCTGATTGCTTGACTTGCTCTAGTTGTACACTGATATATATCTTTATACCTGCTTGTTTACTCTTGCTCGGTTGTGATCAGTGTACTGCCTTGCTACCGTCATCGACCGGATAGAAGATATATATATCTTATCTTATACATTAGAGAAAAAGCTTGCTGTGTCTTCTATTTGGGACGGTTTAGGGTGTCTTATAATTCTTATAAATGGACAAAAAAACGTTTAGAAGATACCCCCTCATCATAAGATTACCCCTAACCCCTACACTGGTCTAACCCGTACACGCCGACAGGTGTCTTATAATCAGGAACACCCATCTATAAGATACACCCGTTTTAAAGACACCCCCTGTCTTCAATTCGACACTGTCTTATATCCGGGCGATGACGGTATTATAACTCTGCATGTGAACTGGCCTTGTGGCCGCTTGCTTGTGCTCAGATTGTGTGTGTCAGAATATGTTGTATTTGTCTAGCCTGCAGTGGGGTACTCAATAGTGAGTACAGCCCAATCTAGGGTTTCCTATATGTACTCAACTGCTTGCTAGTGAAAACCCTCTTTTCTCATTTCTAACTCATTCCTGTTTCTTAACATGGAATCAGAGCAGGGCGACCCTCCTGGGTCGATCCTGTGCATGGGCCCACCATTATCTTCCGCTGCTGTCCTGCCTATCGCGCGCCTCGGGCGCGCGCTGTGTTCCTGCATGCCGCGCGCCCATGGCGCGCGGCCTTTTTTCTTCCCGCCGCGCGCTAGGGGCGCGCGGCGGTTTTCTGACCGTCGCGCCGCCCTGGGGGCCGCGCGACGCCCTACTCTGCCCGTCGTGCGCCCTGTGGCGCGCGGCGGTGCCCTGCCCGTCGCGCGCCCCGGGGCGCACGGCGGTTTCGTCGCCCGGGGGGGGCTCGTGCGCGGCCCCCTCGTCGCCCGTCGCGGCGCCAATGGGGGCCCGCGCGGCCCCAATTCCCGTCGCCCGTCGCGGCGCCCTGGGGGGGGCCGCGCGCGCCCCCCTCCCCCCAGGGTCGCCTCGACAGGCGACGGGAGGGGCGACGGAAGGGGGCCGCGCGTCGGCCCCTCCCGTCTTCGTCGTGGCCCTGCCAGGCCCTGCCCGGCCCTCCTGTCCGTCCCCGACCCTGTCCCGGCCCTGCCCTGCCCGGCCCTGCCCCCATCTTCGTCGCGGCCCTACCCTGTGTTGGGGTTTGGGGTGGCGAGTATGGGGGTGAAGCTGGGTAGAGGGTGTGTGGCATCCCCTGCTCCTCCTCCTACTCCGTCTCCCACTGCTGCAGCTGCCGCTGAGGGGGGTGGGTGTGTGTGAGTCGACGGAGTGGTGCTAGGGGGTGGAGTGTGAGTGAACCTAGGGGTGCAGCAGGGGGTGTGTGAAAGGGGGGTGAGACAGTTAGAGGGAGGTTGGGCGGAGGCAGCTGTCATGTCGCCAGCAGCGCCAGTAGTCCGGAGGCTACAATCTCCGGTAGCCCAGCGAGCCTGCTGCGCCAGTCGCCCGTGGGTCCGTTGCTCCTGCCGCTCAGAGTTAGCCGCAGAGCCAGTTACTCCAGTAGTCCGGAGGCTACAATCTCCGGTAGCCACAGTGCGCGCCGCTCCTGTTGCCCGTGTTTCTGCAGCTTCACCTGTCGTCTCCTATCTCTTCTCCTCTCACAGTCCCTCCTCCTCCTCACTTACCGTCTGTGACTGCCTCTAGCTTTGCTTATATTTGTGAACTATAAACTGCTGCCTCTTGTACTTTTGCTCAGAATGTATGGTGACATTGTGATCCACCCTGAGCTTGTTTTTGCTTGCTTGTTGTGCTGATTACACCCCACTTTGGCTATGGGGGTGTGTCAGAATATGTTGTATTTGTCTAGCCTGCAGTGGGGTACTCAATAGTGAGTACAGCCCAATCTAGGGTTTCCTTTATATACTCAACTGCTTGCTAGTGAAAACCCTCTTTTATCATTTCTAACTCATTCCTGTTTCTTAATAGTGTGGTGTCCTTGAGATCCACCCTGAGCTTTGCTTTGCTTGTTCTCTTGTTTGACTGGTCTTGTGACCGTCTGTTGTCTTGCTTTCTCCCACTTAGCCTATGGGGGTGCATCAACTATATGTTTGTGTTCTCTCTAGGCTATAGTGGGTTAGCCTACAAGGGGTACAACACTATAAGGCTAGTACTTGTACCCAACTCTTTCATAGTTCATCCATTTCTGCATAGTTGATTCTGACAAAGTCCCTTCCCTCCCCAACAGGCATTTGCCTCAGCGGCCAAGAGGCGTCAAGAAGACCAAGAACCAAGAAATGCGAGCAGCTGGGATCTGCAGATACGTTGTTTGAAACTTAGGGATCATAGGGATCTTAGTAAGCACTTTTATCTCTGTATTCAGTTACTAAATATAAGTATCTATGTTCTTTACGACTATAAGTGACTTGGCATTGTAGACGAATACGCAAGGAAATGAAACAATCCTTTTTCTCTGGCTGTGCAGAAAACAAACCCTAGTAGAGTTCAGTCAGCCGTAGAACCACACCACACAGCGTGTAAGGAATTTTCCCGAATTCCTTATCGGGGTTGACTGCTTCGCGTACAGCCCCGATTTTCGGACTCTGCACGTTTGGCCGACATCAACGATGCCGAGCCTCCTCGCGTCACCTTCGGCGTTTCCCTTCGCCAAACCTGCACCCAACCTCACTCACCCGAAGTTCCCTCCTAGCTAGGCTAGCCACTACATTAGCGTGTGCCTTCATTGTATCATGAGTCTGTTCAATCACATTCTCGTTATTCGTTGATCCGCACTCTCCTTTACAACTCATAACACAGCGCATGCACCACACCATAGATACATAACACAGACGTTTCCGCATCGTACGCTTGTCGCAGCATCCATGTTAGTCGCGAAAGTGACTGTCAGCTTTAGGGTCAACGCGAATGTTTGGCCCTCTTTATCGTTCACTACCGATACTACGCTGACTAGCATTAAAATACTGACGATATTTTTTTGCGATCACACGGCAATCCAGAAGGCTAAATCCATTGCCGAAAAACACACTTCCCACTCTTCCTGTTCATAATCCAGATTGTTAACCCTCGCGAGACTATGGCGACGCGAAGGTTGAGAATCTTATTCCTACTCCTTACTTCGTACCTTTCTGTGATCTGAGTTATCATGACTGTTTCGTTCGTACCCACCATTATAACTTTGCCGCGTCAGTCTCTAATTCGTAGCGTATTCTGCGATTCTCTGCTGCTTTTTGCCCTGAAAGTGGCGAGGCATATTGCCATTTTTTCTTCGTAAAATTAGCCTTTCTAATCCTTCATGCGACATGGGTCCGACCGGCGAGCCATCGTCTAAACTGTCGGAGAGAAAGAAGGACGCGTTGGCGCAGGCGGGAAGGCGGAAGGTATGTGGCCGCGTTTGCATGACTAGTGTATCATACGGTAAGTAGCGCATTCATTCAAGTGTATTATACGTTTCTGATTTCAAGCCTATTCCCGACCTTTTTTTTTTTCTAGCTCGCCTGTCACAGTTCTCCCGCATTCCGCCTTACGTTTCAAGTCCTCCGCTCGAGTAATGGCATTCCCGGCGTGCCATTCGAGTAATGTAATGTGACTGCTGCCTTCGGCTGCTGCTGATGCTCCTCTCAGTCAAATCAGTAAATTTCTAGAGCCCTTGGTGCACTGGCTGTGTGTGTGACTGCTTGCTTTTGCTAATCAACTCAGCTGCTGTGTGTATGACTGCTTGCTTTGCAACATAGCCTGGCAGTGTACTTGCCTTGGCTTTGTGACTGCTTGCTTACAACTGACCCCTCAGCGGTTCTCTGTGTGGTTTTGCCAAGCGATGGGAGACTGATATGGATGGTTGATACGGAGGCTGCTGCTGGGCTCTTACAATTGTCTTGATGCATGCTGTGGCGCTGTCTCTCCTCTCCCCGTGTTTCTCTTTTTAGTCGACTCAAAAGTTGACTTTTGAGTCGACTCATGCATGCTGTGGCGCTGTCTCTCCTGTCCCCCGTGTTTCTCTCCGCTGCCGTCGTAGCAATGGGGGAGGGGAGAGCTGTTGGGGAGGTTGTTTGAAGCAGGGGGGGGGGGGGGGTGGTTGCTGGGGGGATTGGGAGGCCTGCCATGCCAGTATGGTTTTGCCAAGAGATGGAAGGCTGTTGTGGACAGTTGATTTGATACAGAGGTGTGTGTGGGTAATTTGCATTGCCTGGTTGTTTGAAGAAGGGAGGTTGGGGAGGGGAGAATCTCGCACATGGTTGGGATTGACATTAGACAGGTGCTTTGGATGTTTGGTGCAGAGTGGCTGAAGCTGGGTCACCAAACCAATGCGATGTTATCTCCTGCTTATTCTGTTACATTGTACATGTACCCTCTCGTTGACGTAATTTGAAGCACTACAGTATTTCCACAAGCCTATGGTGCATATCTGCTTGGATAACCACACATCTTTGTGCACACTGGAGCCAATAAACATGATTGCTTTGAATTCACCCCAAACACACAATAAACAGGAGGTATAGTTTGTTCCACACGCTAAGTATTGTCACCACTCACACCACACCACCCTTTCACAGCTATACAGCATGCGCTCTCTGCGTTGGGGTTGCATTGCATGTGAGTCTAGTTGCCGGTGATCCATGGGTGACCTGCAAAGGTGAAACAGCACAAACGAGGGCAAGGTTGTGGGGCATGGGAGGGATGGGGCATGGGAGGGATGGGGCAACGGAGATTGCTTGGTCAATGCAACGGGAATGGCTGTCTGTTTTGATTTCACAGAACTTCTTCAAGTCTCAACTCTCACGCCCTCCAGTCTCAACTCTCACTCACACAGAACTTCTTCAAGGGTGATTCTCGACATTCACCGCCGCACCAGGTCCTTTGCCCCGGGCGACACTCCTGAGACATGCTCAGAAGTGACTCACACACACTCACACACAGAGCGCCATGTTTCAACATTCACTCACATAGAACCTCCTCAAGGGTGATTCTATCACGGGGGTCCCTTGTCAGCAGCCTTCGCACCACATCCTTCGCCTCGGGAGGCACTCCTGAGACATGCTCAAAAGTGACTCACACACTCACACACACTCACACACACCCTCCTGCTCCAAGCCACACTCACATAAAACCTCTTCAAGGGTGATTCTATCATGGGGGTCCCGAGTCAGCAGCCGCCGCACCAGGTCCTTTGCCGCGGGGGACACCCGCGGCCACGGTGGTAACCGCATGGCCCTGTCCACGTGGCACTCCATGATTCGCTCGAACGTCTCCTCCTTGGTGGCGCCTCGGAAGGGAACGACCCCCGCGAGAAGGAAGAAGAGCACGCAGCCGAGGGACCAGACGTCCACTGTGTGGGAGTAGGAGTGCTGCAGCATCTCCGGTGCTATGAAGGCTGCTGACCCCACTGTCTCCCTGCAGGACACACCTGCAGACGAGGGGAGGGCAGCAGCAGTGGTGGGGACCAGGGGAGGGGAGAGAAGCAGGGCTGTCCTGTTTAGAATTCTGTAAAGTCTCCTCGTTGGAGGCGCCTCGGAAGGGCACGACTGGAAGGGCACGACTCCCGCGAGGAGGAAGAAGAGCACACAGCCGAGGGACCAGACGTCCACTGTGTGGGAGTAGGAGTGCTGCAGCATCTCTGGTGCTATGAAGGCTGCTGACCCCACTGTTTCCCTGCAGGAGACGCCTGCAGATTTGAAGGGAAGAAGGAGGGGTGGGGAGGGGTGGAGAGGGTTGGTTGTGTTAGGTTGGAAGGAAGTGGAGCAAGCACCATCTGCTTGGGAATCTGACCTTGCCGGAAGAAGAGGAATATTCCAAAGGCGGCCAGCTTCACATAGCTGTCATCCCCCCGCCACACAAGGAGGATGTTGCCGGGCTTAACATCGCGGTGATGTGCATCACCCCACTCCCGTGACACCCCTTTCCCTCTCGCCTGACTAGGAGGATGTTGTCGGGCTTCATATCGCGGTGATGTGCATCACCCCACTCCCGTGACACCCCTTTCCCTCTCGCCTGACTAGGAGGATGTTGTCGGGCTTCATATCGCGGTGATGTGCATCACCCCACTCCCGTGACACCCCTTTCCCTCTCGCCTGACTAGGAGGATGTTGTCGGGCTTCATATCGCGGTGATGTGCATCACCCCACTCCCGTGACACCCCTTTCCCTCTCGCCTGACTAGGAGGATGTTGTCGGGCTTCACATCGCGGTGATGTGCATCACCCCACTCCCGTGACACCACTTCAACGCCCCCCCTGCGCCACTCCCTCACAAGCAGCTCTCACCTTCCTGGAAGAAGAGGGATATTCCAAAGTCGGCCAACTTGACATAAGTGTCATCGCTGAGCCGCACAAGGAGGATGTTGTCGGGCTTCACATCGCGGTGCATCACCCCACACCCGTGGCACCACTGCAGCGCCGCCGCCACTCCCTGACAAACCGCCGCCGCCCGCCGCTCGTTTAAGGGCCCCTCGTTTCGGACGGCCTGCTGCAGTGTGCCGCCCTCACAGAGGTCAAGGATGAGGTAGATGGCCTGGGGGGGGAGGATGGGGGGGTGAGATGGATGGGGAGGGTATATAAAGGGGAGATATGAGAGCTCCACATCCTTGCATCTAGACCGTTGCTTGCAGTGTGCCGCCCTCGCAGAGATGGAGAATGAGGTAGATGGCCTGGGGAGGTCGAGGTCGGGAATGTGTAGGGGAATATGAGAGGGCGCCGGTAGATGGCCCGGGGGGAATGGGGTTGGGGTGAGAGAGAGGGGGATGACAGGGAAAATATAGCGGGCGCCGGATTCAAGAGTGGGATGCAAGGGACGGAGACAAGAAGGCGAGATATGACTGTCACCCTCTTGCTCGTCCTCTATTGTCTCCACGAGTTGCACGAAATGAGGGTGCCCTCGCACCGTGTCCAGTGCCGCCACCTCATTCATCACGTCCTCCACATCACCTAGTAGCACCCACCTCCTTGTCCTCTCCTATCACCCAGCACCCACCCACCTGCTCGTCTCTATCGTCTCCACCAGCTGCACAATGTGAGGGTGCCCTCGCACCATGTCCAATGCTGCCACCTTGTTCATCACGTCCTCTACCGTCTCATAGCAGCACCCATCTCCCCCTCCTCTACCCTCACCTATAGCACCCACCCACCCACCTGTTCGTCCTCTATTGTCTCCACGAGTTGCACAATATGAGGGTGCCCTCGCACCGTGTCCAATGCTGCCACCTCGTTGTGACTCGACTCACGAGTTACCTGCCTTCCCAGCACCCACCCACCTGTTCGTCCTCAGTTGTCTCCACGAGTTGCACAATATGAGGGTGCCCTCGCACCGTGTCCAATGCTGCCACCTCGTTGTGACTCGACTCACGAGTTACCTGCCTTCCCAGCACCCACCCACCTGTTCGTCCTCAATTGTCTCCACGAGTTGCACAATATGAGGGTGCCCTCGCACCGTGTCCAATGCTGCCACCTCGTTGTGACTCGACTCACGAGTTACCTGCCTTCCCAGCACCCACCCACCTGTTCGTCCTCAATTGTCTCCACGAGTTGCACAATATGAGGGTGCCCTCGCACCGTGTCCAATGCTGCCACCTCGTTGTGACTCGACTCACGAGTTACCTGCCTTCCCAGCACCCACCCACCTGTTCGTCCTCAATTGTCTCCACGAGTTGCACAATATGAGGGTGCCCTCGCACCGTGTCCAATGCTGCCACCTCGTTGTGACTCGACTCACGAGTTACCTGCCTTCCCAGCACCCACCCACCTGTTCGTCCTCTATTGTCTCCACGAGTTGCACAATATGAGGGTGCCCTCGCACCGTGTCCAATGCTGCCACCTCGTTGTGACTCGACTCACGAGTTACCTGCCTTCCCAGCACCCACCCACCTGTTCGTCCTCAATTGTCTCCACGAGTTGCACAATATGAGGGTGCCCTCGCACCGTGTCCAATGCTGCCACCTCGTTGTGACTCGACTCACGAGTTACCTGCCTTCCCAGCACCCACCCACCTGTTCGTCCTCAATTGTCTCCACGAGTTGCACAATATGAGGGTGCCCTCGCACCGTGTCCAATGCTGCCACCTCGTTGTGACTCGACTCACGAGTTACCTGCCTTCCCAGCACCCACCCACCTGTTCGTCCTCTATTGTCTCCACGAGTTGCACAATATGAGGGTGCCCTCGCACCGTGTCCAATGCTGCCACCTCGTTGTGACTCGACTCACGAGTTACCTGCCTTCCCAGCACCCACCCACCTGTTCGTCCTCTATTGTCTCCACGAGTTGCACAATATGAGGGTGCCCTCGCACCGTGTCCAATGCTGCCACCTCGTTGTGACTCGACTCACGAGTTACCTGCCTTCCCAGCACCCACCCACCTGTTCGTCCTCAATTGTCTCCACGAGTTGCACAATATGAGGGTGCCCTCGCACCGTGTCCAATGCTGCCACCTCGTTGTGACTCGACTCACGAGTTACCTGCCTTCCCAGCACCCACCCACCTGTTCGTCCTCAGTTGTCTCCACGAGTTGCACAATATGAGGGTGCCCTCGCACCGTGTCCAATGCTGCCACCTCGTTGTGACTCGACTCACGAGTTACCTGCCTTCCCAGCACCCACCCACCTGTTCGTCCTCTATTGTCTCCACGAGTTGCACAATATGAGGGTGCCCTCGCACCGTGTCCAATGCTGCCACCTCGTTGTGACTCGACTCACGAGTTACCTGCCTTCCCAGCACCCACCCACCTGTTCGTCCTCAATTGTCTCCACGAGTTGCACAATATGAGGGTGCCCTCGCACCGTGTCCAATGCTGCCACCTCGTTGTGACTCGACTCACGAGTTACCTGCCTTCCCAGCACCCACCCACCTGTTCGTCCTCAATTGTCTCCACGAGTTGCACAATATGAGGGTGCCCTCGCACCGTGTCCAATGCTGCCACCTCGTTGTGACTCGACTCACGAGTTACCTGCCTTCCCAGCACCCACCCACCTGTTCGTCCTCAGTTGTCTCCACGAGTTGCACAATATGAGGGTGCCCTCGCACCGTGTCCAATGCTGCCACCTCGTTGTGACTCGACTCACGAGTTACCTGCCTTCCCAGCACCCACCCACCTGTTCGTCCTCTATTGTCTCCACGAGTTGCACAATATGAGGGTGCCCTCGCACCGTGTCCAATGCTGCCACCTCGTTGTGACTCGACTCACGAGTTACCTGCCTTCCCAGCACCCACCCACCTGTTCGTCCTCAATTGTCTCCACGAGTTGCACAATATGAGGGTGCCCTCGCACCGTGTCCAATGCTGCCACCTCGTTGTGACTCGACTCACGAGTTACCTGCCTTCCCAGCACCCACCCACCTGTTCGTCCTCAATTGTCTCCACGAGTTGCACAATATGAGGGTGCCCTCGCACCGTGTCCAATGCTGCCACCTCGTTGTGACTCGACTCACGAGTTACCTGCCTTCCCAGCACCCACCCACCTGTTCGTCCTCTATTGTCTCCACGAGTTGCACAATATGAGGGTGCCCTCGCACCGTGTCCAATGCTGCCACCTCGTTGTGACTCGACTCACGAGTTACCTGCCTTCCCAGCACCCACCCACCTGTTCGTCCTCAATTGTCTCCACGAGTTGCACAATATGAGGGTGCCCTCGCACCGTGTCCAATGCTGCCACCTCGTTGTGACTCGACTCACGAGTTACCTGCCTTCCCAGCACCCACCCACCTGTTCGTCCTCTATTGTCTCCACGAGTTGAACAATATGAGGGTGCCCTCGCACCGTGTCCAATGCTGCCACCTCGTTGTGACTCGACTCACGAGTTACCTGCCTTCCCAGCACCCACCCACCTGTTCGTCCTCAATTGTCTCCACGAGTTGCACAATATGAGGGTGCCCTCGCACCGTGTCCAATGCTGCCACCTCGTTGTGACTCGACTCACGAGTTACCTGCCTTCCCAGCACCCACCCACCTGTTCGTCCTCTATTGTCTCCACGAGTTGCACAATATGAGGGTGTCCTCGCACCGTGTCCAATGCTGCCACCTCGTTGTGACTCGACTCACGAGTTACCTGCCTTCCCAGCACCCACCCACCTGTTCGTCCTCTATTGTCTCCACGAGTTGCACAATATGAGGGTGCCCTCGCACCGTGTCCAATGCTGCCACCTCGTTGTGACTCGACTCACGAGTTACCTGCCTTCCCAGCACCCACCCACCTGTTCGTCCTCAATTGTCTCCACGAGTTGCACAATATGAGGGTGCCCTCGCACCGTGTCCAATGCTGCCACCTCGTTGTGACTCGACTCACGAGTTACCTGCCTTCCCAGCACCCACCCACCTGTTCGTCCTCAATTGTCTCCACGAGTTGCACAATATGAGGGTGCCCTCGCACCGTGTCCAATGCTGCCACCTCGTTGTGACTCGACTCACGAGTTACCTGCCTTCCCAGCACCCACCCACCTGTTCGTCCTCTATTGTCTCCACGAGTTGCACAATATGAGGGTGCCCTCGCACCGTGTCCAATGCTGCCACCTCGTTGTGACTCGACTCACGAGTTACCTGCCTTCCCAGCACCCACCCACCTGTTCGTCCTCTATTGTCTCCACGAGTTGCACAATATGAGGGTGCCCTCGCACCGTGTCCAATGCTGCCACCTCGTTGTGACTCGACTCACGAGTTACCTGCCTTCCCAGCACCCACCCACCTGTTCGTCCTCAATTGTCTCCACGAGTTGCACAATATGAGGGTGCCCTCGCACCGTGTCCAATGCTGCCACCTCGTTGTGACTCGACTCACGAGTTACCTGCCTTCCCAGCACCCACCCACCTGTTCGTCCTCAGTTGTCTCCACGAGTTGCACAATATGAGGGTGCCCTCGCACCGTGTCCAATGCTGCCACCTCGTTGTGACTCGACTCACGAGTTACCTGCCTTCCCAGCACCCACCCACCTGTTCGTCCTCTATTGTCTCCACGAGTTGCACAATATGAGGGTGCCCTCGCACCGTGTCCAATGCTGCCACCTCGTTGTGACTCGACTCACGAGTTACCTGCCTTCCCAGCACCCACCCACCTGTTCGTCCTCAATTGTCTCCACGAGTTGCACAATATGAGGGTGCCCTCGCACCGTGTCCAATGCTGCCACCTCGTTGTGACTCGACTCACGAGTTACCTGCCTTCCCAGCACCCACCCACCTGTTCGTCCTCAATTGTCTCCACGAGTTGCACAATATGAGGGTGCCCTCGCACCGTGTCCAATGCTGCCACCTCGTTGTGACTCGACTCACGAGTTACCTGCCTTCCCAGCACCCACCCACCTGTTCGTCCTCTATTGTCTCCACGAGTTGCACAATATGAGGGTGCCCTCGCACCGTGTCCAATGCTGCCACCTCGTTGTGACTCGACTCACGAGTTACCTGCCTTCCCAGCACCCACCCACCTGTTCGTCCTCAATTGTCTCCACGAGTTGCACAATATGAGGGTGCCCTCGCACCGTGTCCAATGCTGCCACCTCGTTGTGACTCGACTCACGAGTTACCTGCCTTCCCAGCACCCACCCACCTGTTCGTCCTCTATTGTCTCCACGAGTTGAACAATATGAGGGTGCCCTCGCACCGTGTCCAATGCTGCCACCTCGTTGTGACTCGACTCACGAGTTACCTGCCTTCCCAGCACCCACCCACCTGTTCGTCCTCAATTGTCTCCACGAGTTGCACAATATGAGGGTGCCCTCGCACCGTGTCCAATGCTGCCACCTCGTTGTGACTCGACTCACGAGTTACCTGCCTTCCCAGCACCCACCCACCTGTTCGTCCTCTATTGTCTCCACGAGTTGCACAATATGAGGGTGTCCTCGCACCGTGTCCAATGCTGCCACCTCGTTGTGACTCGACTCACGAGTTACCTGCCTTCCCAGCACCCACCCACCTGTTCGTCCTCTATTGTCTCCACGAGTTGCACAATATGAGGGTGCCCTCGCACCGTGTCCAATGCTGCCACCTCGTTGTGACTCGACTCACGAGTTACCTGCCTTCCCAGCACCCACCCACCTGTTCGTCCTCTATTGTCTCCACGAGTTGCACAATATGAGGGTGCCCTCGCACCGTGTCCAATGCTGCCACCTCGTTGTGACTCGACTCACGAGTTACCTGCCTTCCCAGCACCCACCCACCTGTTCGTCCTCTATTGTCTCCACGAGTTGCACAATATGAGGGTGCCCTCGCACCGTGTCCAATGCTGCCACCTCGTTGTGACTCGACTCACGAGTTACCTGCCTTCCCAGCACCCACCCACCTGTTCGTCCTCTATTGTCTCCACGAGTTGCACAATATGAGGGTGCCCTCGCACCGTGTCCAATGCTGCCACCTCGTTGTGACTCGACTCACGAGTTACCTGCCTTCCCAGCACCCACCCACCTGTTCGTCCTCTATTGTCTCCACGAGTTGCACAATATGAGGGTGCCCTCGCACCGTGTGCAATGCTGCCACCTCGTTGTGACTCGACTCACGAGTTACCTGCCTTCCCAGCACCCACCCACCTGTTCGTCCTCTATTGTCTCCACGAGTTGCACAATATGAGGGTGCCCTCGCACCGTGTCCAATGCTGCCACCTCGTTGTGACTCGACTCACGAGTTACCTGCCTTCCCAGCACCCACCCACCTGTTCGTCCTCTATTGTCTCCACGAGTTGCACAATATGAGGGTGCCCTCGCACCGTGTCCAATGCTGCCACCTCGTTGTGACTCGACTCACGAGTTACCTACCTTCCCAGCACCCACCCACCTGTTCGTCCTCAATTGTCTCCACGAGTTGCACAATATGAGGGTGCCCTCGCACCGTGTCCAATGCTGCCACCTCGTTGTGACTCGACTCACGAGTTACCTGCCTTCCCAGCACCCACCCACCTGTTCGTCCTCTATTGTCTCCACGAGTTGCACAATATGAGGGTGCCCTCGCACCGTGTCCAATGCTGCCACCTCGTTGTGACTCGACTCACGAGTTACCTGCCTTCCCAGCACCCACCCACCTGTTCGTCCTCAATTGTCTCCACGAGTTGCACAATATGAGGGTGCCCTCGCACCGTGTCCAATGCTGCCACCTCGTTGTGACTCGACTCACGAGTTACCTGCCTTCCCAGCACCCACCCACCTGTTCGTCCTCTATTGTCTCCACGAGTTGAACAATATGAGGGTGCCCTCGCACCGTGTCCAATGCTGCCACCTCGTTGTGACTCGACTCACGAGTTACCTGCCTTCCCAGCACCCACCCACCTGTTCGTCCTCAATTGTCTCCACGAGTTGCACAATATGAGGGTGCCCTCGCACCGTGTCCAATGCTGCCACCTCGTTGTGACTCGACTCACGAGTTACCTGCCTTCCCAGCACCCACCCACCTGTTCGTCCTCTATTGTCTCCACGAGTTGCACAATATGAGGGTGTCCTCGCACCGTGTCCAATGCTGCCACCTCGTTGTGACTCGACTCACGAGTTACCTGCCTTCCCAGCACCCACCCACCTGTTCGTCCTCTATTGTCTCCACGAGTTGCACAATATGAGGGTGCCCTCGCACCGTGTCCAATGCTGCCACCTCGTTGTGACTCGACTCACGAGTTACCTGCCTTCCCAGCACCCACCCACCTGTTCGTCCTCTATTGTCTCCACGAGTTGCACAATATGAGGGTGCCCTCGCACCGTGTCCAATGCTGCCACCTCGTTGTGACTCGACTCACGAGTTACCTGCCTTCCCAGCACCCACCCACCTGTTCGTCCTCTATTGTCTCCACGAGTTGCACAATATGAGGGTGCCCTCGCACCGTGTCCAATGCTGCCACCTCGTTGTGACTCGACTCACGAGTTACCTGCCTTCCCAGCACCCACCCACCTGTTCGTCCTCTATTGTCTCCACGAGTTGCACAATATGAGGGTGCCCTCGCACCGTGTCCAATGCTGCCACCTCGTTGTGACTCGACTCACGAGTTACCTGCCTTCCCAGCACCCACCCACCTGTTCGTCCTCAGTTGTCTCCACGAGTTGCACAATATGAGGGTGCCCTCGCACCGTGTCCAATGCTGCCACCTCGTTGTGACTCGACTCACGAGTTACCTGCCTTCCCAGCACCCACCCACCTGTTCGTCCTCAATTGTCTCCACGAGTTGCACAATATGAGGGTGCCCTCGCACCGTGTCCAATGCTGCCACCTCGTTGTGACTCGACTCACGAGTTACCTGCCTTCCCAGCACCCACCCACCTGTTCGTCCTCAATTGTCTCCACGAGTTGCACAATATGAGGGTGCCCTCGCACCGTGTCCAATGCTGCCACCTCGTTGTGACTCGACTCACGAGTTACCTGCCTTCCCAGCACCCACCCACCTGTTCGTCCTCTATTGTCTCCACGAGTTGCACAATATGAGGGTGCCCTCGCACCGTGTCCAATGCTGCCACCTCGTTGTGACTCGACTCACGAGTTACCTGCCTTCCCAGCACCCACCCACCTGTTCGTCCTCTATTGTCTCCACGAGTTGCACAATATGAGGGTGCCCTCGCACCGTGTCCAATGCTGCCACCTCGTTGTGACTCGACTCACGAGTTACCTGCCTTCCCAGCACCCACCCACCTGTTCGTCCTCAATTGTCTCCACGAGTTGCACAATATGAGGGTGCCCTCGCACCGTGTCCAATGCTGCCACCTCGTTGTGACTCGACTCACGAGTTACCTGCCTTCCCAGCACCCACCCACCTGTTCGTCCTCAGTTGTCTCCACGAGTTGCACAATATGAGGGTGCCCTCGCACCGTGTCCAATGCTGCCACCTCGTTGTGACTCGACTCACGAGTTACCTGCCTTCCCAGCACCCACCCACCTGTTCGTCCTCTATTGTCTCCACGAGTTGCACAATATGAGGGTGCCCTCGCACCGTGTCCAATGCTGCCACCTCGTTGTGACTCGACTCACGAGTTACCTGCCTTCCCAGCACCCACCCACCTGTTCGTCCTCAATTGTCTCCACGAGTTGCACAATATGAGGGTGCCCTCGCACCGTGTCCAATGCTGCCACCTCGTTGTGACTCGACTCACGAGTTACCTGCCTTCCCAGCACCCACCCACCTGTTCGTCCTCAATTGTCTCCACGAGTTGCACAATATGAGGGTGCCCTCGCACCGTGTCCAATGCTGCCACCTCGTTGTGACTCGACTCACGAGTTACCTGCCTTCCCAGCACCCACCCACCTGTTCGTCCTCTATTGTCTCCACGAGTTGCACAATATGAGGGTGCCCTCGCACCGTGTCCAATGCTGCCACCTCGTTGTGACTCGACTCACGAGTTACCTGCCTTCCCAGCACCCACCCACCTGTTCGTCCTCAATTGTCTCCACGAGTTGCACAATATGAGGGTGCCCTCGCACCGTGTCCAATGCTGCCACCTCGTTGTGACTCGACTCACGAGTTACCTGCCTTCCCAGCACCCACCCACCTGTTCGTCCTCTATTGTCTCCACGAGTTGAACAATATGAGGGTGCCCTCGCACCGTGTCCAATGCTGCCACCTCGTTGTGACTCGACTCACGAGTTACCTGCCTTCCCAGCACCCACCCACCTGTTCGTCCTCAATTGTCTCCACGAGTTGCACAATATGAGGGTGCCCTCGCACCGTGTCCAATGCTGCCACCTCGTTGTGACTCGACTCACGAGTTACCTGCCTTCCCAGCACCCACCCACCTGTTCGTCCTCTATTGTCTCCACGAGTTGCACAATATGAGGGTGTCCTCGCACCGTGTCCAATGCTGCCACCTCGTTGTGACTCGACTCACGAGTTACCTGCCTTCCCAGCACCCACCCACCTGTTCGTCCTCTATTGTCTCCACGAGTTGCACAATATGAGGGTGCCCTCGCACCGTGTCCAATGCTGCCACCTCGTTGTGACTCGACTCACGAGTTACCTGCCTTCCCAGCACCCACCCACCTGTTCGTCCTCTATTGTCTCCACGAGTTGCACAATATGAGGGTGCCCTCGCACCGTGTCCAATGCTGCCACCTCGTTGTGACTCGACTCACGAGTTACCTGCCTTCCCAGCACCCACCCACCTGTTCGTCCTCTATTGTCTCCACGAGTTGCACAATATGAGGGTGCCCTCGCACCGTGTCCAATGCTGCCACCTCGTTGTGACTCGACTCACGAGTTACCTGCCTTCCCAGCACCCACCCACCTGTTCGTCCTCTATTGTCTCCACGAGTTGCACAATATGAGGGTGCCCTCGCACCGTGTCCAATGCTGCCACCTCGTTGTGACTCGACTCACGAGTTACCTGCCTTCCCAGCACCCACCCACCTGTTCGTCCTCTATTGTCTCCACGAGTTGCACAATATGAGGGTGCCCTCGCACCGTGTGCAATGCTGCCACCTCGTTGTGACTCGACTCACGAGTTACCTGCCTTCCCAGCACCCACCCACCTGTTCGTCCTCTATTGTCTCCACGAGTTGCACAATATGAGGGTGCCCTCGCACCGTGTCCAATGCTGCCACCTCGTTGTGACTCGACTCACGAGTTACCTGCCTTCCCAGCACCCACCCACCTGTTCGTCCTCTATTGTCTCCACGAGTTGCACAATATGAGGGTGCCCTCGCACCGTGTCCAATGCTGCCACCTCGTTGTGACTCGACTCACGAGTTACCTACCTTCCCAGCACCCACCCACCTGTTCGTCCTCAATTGTCTCCACGAGTTGCACAATATGAGGGTGCCCTCGCACCGTGTCCAATGCTGCCACCTCGTTGTGACTCGACTCACGAGTTACCTGCCTTCCCAGCACCCACCCACCTGTTCGTCCTCTATTGTCTCCACGAGTTGCACAATATGAGGGTGCCCTCGCACCGTGTCCAATGCTGCCACCTCGTTGTGACTCGACTCACGAGTTACCTGCCTTCCCAGCACCCACCCACCTGTTCGTCCTCAATTGTCTCCACGAGTTGCACAATATGAGGGTGCCCTCGCACCGTGTCCAATGCTGCCACCTCGTTGTGACTCGACTCACGAGTTACCTGCCTTCCCAGCACCCACCCACCTGTTCGTCCTCTATTGTCTCCACGAGTTGAACAATATGAGGGTGCCCTCGCACCGTGTCCAATGCTGCCACCTCGTTGTGACTCGACTCACGAGTTACCTGCCTTCCCAGCACCCACCCACCTGTTCGTCCTCAATTGTCTCCACGAGTTGCACAATATGAGGGTGCCCTCGCACCGTGTCCAATGCTGCCACCTCGTTGTGACTCGACTCACGAGTTACCTGCCTTCCCAGCACCCACCCACCTGTTCGTCCTCTATTGTCTCCACGAGTTGCACAATATGAGGGTGTCCTCGCACCGTGTCCAATGCTGCCACCTCGTTGTGACTCGACTCACGAGTTACCTGCCTTCCCAGCACCCACCCACCTGTTCGTCCTCTATTGTCTCCACGAGTTGCACAATATGAGGGTGCCCTCGCACCGTGTCCAATGCTGCCACCTCGTTGTGACTCGACTCACGAGTTACCTGCCTTCCCAGCACCCACCCACCTGTTCGTCCTCTATTGTCTCCACGAGTTGCACAATATGAGGGTGCCCTCGCACCGTGTCCAATGCTGCCACCTCGTTGTGACTCGACTCACGAGTTACCTGCCTTCCCAGCACCCACCCACCTGTTCGTCCTCTATTGTCTCCACGAGTTGCACAATATGAGGGTGCCCTCGCACCGTGTCCAATGCTGCCACCTCGTTGTGACTCGACTCACGAGTTACCTGCCTTCCCAGCACCCACCCACCTGTTCGTCCTCTATTGTCTCCACGAGTTGCACAATATGAGGGTGCCCTCGCACCGTGTCCAATGCTGCCACCTCGTTGTGACTCGACTCACGAGTTACCTGCCTTCCCAGCACCCACCCACCTGTTCGTCCTCTATTGTCTCCACGAGTTGCACAATATGAGGGTGCCCTCGCACCGTGTGCAATGCTGCCACCTCGTTGTGACTCGACTCACGAGTTACCTGCCTTCCCAGCACCCACCCACCTGTTCGTCCTCTATTGTCTCCACGAGTTGCACAATATGAGGGTGCCCTCGCACCGTGTCCAATGCTGCCACCTCGTTGTGACTCGACTCACGAGTTACCTGCCTTCCCAGCACCCACCCACCTGTTCGTCCTCTATTGTCTCCACGAGTTGCACAATATGAGGGTGCCCTCGCACCGTGTCCAATGCTGCCACCTCGTTGTGACTCGACTCACGAGTTACCTGCCTTCCCAGCACCCACCCACCTGTTCGTCCTCTATTGTCTCCACGAGTTGCACAATATGAGGGTGCCCTCGCACCGTGTCCAATGCTGCCACCTCGTTGTGACTCGACTCACGAGTTACCTGCCTTCCCAGCACCCACCCACCTGTTCGTCCTCTATTGTCTCCACGAGTTGCACAATATGAGGGTGCCCTCGCACCGTGTCCAATGCTGCCACCTCGTTGTGACTCGACTCACGAGTTACCTGCCTTCCCAGCACCCACCCACCTGTTCGTCCTCTATTGTCTCCACGAGTTGCACAATATGAGGGTGCCCTCGCACCGTGTCCAATGCTGCCACCTCGTTGTGACTCGACTCACGAGTTACCTGCCTTCCCAGCACCCACCCACCTGTTCGTCCTCTATTGTCTCCACGAGTTGCACAATATGAGGGTGCCCTCGCACCGTGTCCAATGCTGCCACCTCGTTGTGACTCGACTCACGAGTTACCTGCCTTCCCAGCACCCACCCACCTGTTCGTCCTCTATTGTCTCCACGAGTTGCACAATATGAGGGTGCCCTCGCACCGTGTCCAATGCTGCCACCTCGTTGTGACTCGACTCACGAGTTACCTGCCTTCCCAGCACCCACCCACCTGTTCGTCCTCAATTGTCTCCACGAGTTGCACAATATGAGGGTGCCCTCGCACCGTGTCCAATGCTGCCACCTCGTTGTGACTCGACTCACGAGTTACCTGCCTTCCCAGCACCCACCCACCTGTTCGTCCTCTATTGTCTCCACGAGTTGCACAATATGAGGGTGCCCTCGCACCGTGTCCAATGCTGCCACCTCGTTGTGACTCGACTCACGAGTTACCTGCCTTCCCAGCACCCACCCACCTGTTCGTCCTCTATTGTCTCCACGAGTTGCACAATATGAGGGTGCCCTCGCACCGTGTCCAATGCTGCCACCTCGTTGTGACTCGACTCACGAGTTACCTGCCTTCCCAGCACCCACCCACCTGTTCGTCCTCTATTGTCTCCACGAGTTGCACAATATGAGGGTGCCCTCGCACCGTGTCCAATGCTGCCACCTCGTTGTGACTCGACTCACGAGTTACCTGCCTTCCCAGCACCCACCCACCTGTTCGTCCTCTATTGTCTCCACGAGTTGCACAATATGAGGGTGCCCTCGCACCGTGTCCAATGCTGCCACCTCGTTGTGACTCGACTCACGAGTTACCTGCCTTCCCAGCACCCACCCACCTGTTCGTCCTCTATTGTCTCCACGAGTTGCACAATATGAGGGTGCCCTCGCACCGTGTCCAATGCTGCCACCTCGTTGTGACTCGACTCACGAGTTACCTGCCTTCCCAGCACCCACCCACCTGTTCGTCCTCTATTGTCTCCACGAGTTGCACAATATGAGGGTGCCCTCGCACCGTGTCCAATGCTGCCACCTCGTTGTGACTCGACTCACGAGTTACCTGCCTTCCCAGCACCCACCCACCTGTTCGTCCTCTATTGTCTCCACGAGTTGCACAATATGAGGGTGCCCTCGCACCGTGTCCAATGCTGCCACCTCGTTGTGACTCGACTCACGAGTTACCTGCCTTCCCAGCACCCACCCACCTGTTCGTCCTCTATTGTCTCCACGAGTTGCACAATATGAGGGTGCCCTCGCACCGTGTCCAATGCTGCCACCTCGTTGTGACTCGACTCACGAGTTACCTGCCTTCCCAGCACCCACCCACCTGTTCGTCCTCAATTGTCTCCACGAGTTGCACAATATGAGGGTGCCCTCGCACCGTGTCCAATGCTGCCACCTCGTTGTGACTCGACTCACGAGTTACCTGCCTTCCCAGCACCCACCCACCTGTTCGTCCTCTATTGTCTCCACGAGTTGCACAATATGAGGGTGCCCTCGCACCGTGTCCAATGCTGCCACCTCGTTGTGACTCGACTCACGAGTTACCTGCCTTCCCAGCACCCACCCACCTGTTCGTCCTCTATTGTCTCCACGAGTTGCACAATATGAGGGTGCCCTCGCACCGTGTCCAATGCTGCCACCTCGTTGTGACTCGACTCACGAGTTACCTGCCTTCCCAGCACCCACCCACCTGTTCGTCCTCTATTGTCTCCACGAGTTGCACAATATGAGGGTGCCCTCGCACCGTGTCCAATGCTGCCACCTCGTTGTGACTCGACTCACGAGTTACCTGCCTTCCCAGCACCCACCCACCTGTTCGTCCTCTATTGTCTCCACGAGTTGCACAATATGAGGGCGCCCTCGCACCGTGTCCAATGCTGCCACCTCGTTGTGACTCGACTCACGAGTTACCTGCCTTCCCAGCACCCACCCACCTGTTCGTCCTCAATTGTCTCCACGAGTTGCACAATATGAGGGTGCCCTCGCACCGTGTCCAATGCTGCCACCTCGTTGTGACTCGACTCACGAGTTACCTGCCTTCCCAGCACCCACCCACCTGTTCGTCCTCTATTGTCTCCACGAGTTGCACAATATGAGGGTGCCCTCGCACCGTGTCCAATGCTGCCACCTCGTTGTGACTCGACTCACGAGTTACCTGCCTTCCCAGCACCCACCCACCTGTTCGTCCTCTATTGTCTCCACGAGTTGCACAATATGAGGGTGCCCTCGCACCGTGTCCAATGCTGCCACCTCGTTGTGACTCGACTCACGAGTTACCTGCCTTCCCAGCACCCACCCACCTGTTCGTCCTCTATTGTCTCCACGAGTTGCACAATATGAGGGTGCCCTCGCACCGTGTCCAATGCTGCCACCTCGTTGTGACTCGACTCACGAGTTACCTGCCTTCCCAGCACCCACCCACCTGTTCGTCCTCTATTGTCTCCACGAGTTGCACAATATGAGGGTGCCCTCGCACCGTGTCCAATGCTGCCACCTCGTTGTGACTCGACTCACGAGTTACCTGCCTTCCCAGCACCCACCCACCTGTTCGTCCTCTATTGTCTCCACGAGTTGCACAATATGAGGGTGCCCTCGCACCGTGTCCAATGCTGCCACCTCGTTGTGACTCGACTCACGAGTTACCTGCCTTCCCAGCACCCACCCACCTGTTCGTCCTCTATTGTCTCCACGAGTTGCACAATATGAGGGTGCCCTCGCACCGTGTCCAATGCTGCCACCTCGTTGTGACTCGACTCACGAGTTACCTGCCTTCCCAGCACCCACCCACCTGTTCGTCCTCTATTGTCTCCACGAGTTGCACAATATGAGGGTGCCCTCGCACCGTGTCCAATGCTGCCACCTCGTTGTGACTCGACTCACGAGTTACCTGCCTTCCCAGCACCCACCCACCTGTTCGTCCTCTATTGTCTCCACGAGTTGCACAATATGAGGGTGCCCTCGCACCGTGTCCAATGCTGCCACCTCGTTGTGACTCGACTCACGAGTTACCTGCCTTCCCAGCACCCACCCACCTGTTCGTCCTCTATTGTCTCCACGAGTTGCACAATATGAGGGTGCCCTCGCACCGTGTCCAATGCTGCCACCTCGTTGTGACTCGACTCACGAGTTACCTGCCTTCCCAGCACCCACCCACCTGTTCGTCCTCTATTGTCTCCACGAGTTGCACAATATGAGGGTGCCCTCGCACCGTGTCCAATGCTGCCACCTCGTTGTGACTCGACTCACGAGTTACCTGCCTTCCCAGCACCCACCCACCTGTTCGTCCTCAATTGTCTCCACGAGTTGCACAATATGAGGGTGCCCTCGCACCGTGTCCAATGCTGCCACCTCGTTGTGACTCGACTCACGAGTTACCTGCCTTCCCAGCACCCACCCACCTGTTCGTCCTCTATTGTCTCCACGAGTTGCACAATATGAGGGTGCCCTCGCACCGTGTCCAATGCTGCCACCTCGTTGTGACTCGACTCACGAGTTACCTGCCTTCCCAGCACCCACCCACCTGTTCGTCCTCTATTGTCTCCACGAGTTGCACAATATGAGGGTGCCCTCGCACCGTGTCCAATGCTGCCACCTCGTTGTGACTCGACTCACGAGTTACCTGCCTTCCCAGCACCCACCCACCTGTTCGTCCTCTATTGTCTCCACGAGTTGCACAATATGAGGGTGCCCTCGCACCGTGTCCAATGCTGCCACCTCGTTGTGACTCGACTCACGAGTTACCTGCCTTCCCAGCACCCACCCACCTGTTCGTCCTCTATTGTCTCCACGAGTTGCACAATATGAGGGCGCCCTCGCACCGTGTCCAATGCTGCCACCTCGTTGTGACTCGACTCACGAGTTACCTGCCTTCCCAGCACCCACCCACCTGTTCGTCCTCAATTGTCTCCACGAGTTGCACAATATGAGGGTGCCCTCGCACCGTGTCCAATGCTGCCACCTCGTTGTGACTCGACTCACGAGTTACCTGCCTTCCCAGCACCCACCCACCTGTTCGTCCTCTATTGTCTCCACGAGTTGCACAATATGAGGGTGCCCTCGCACCGTGTCCAATGCTGCCACCTCGTTGTGACTCGACTCACGAGTTACCTGCCTTCCCAGCACCCACCCACCTGTTCGTCCTCTATTGTCTCCACGAGTTGCACAATATGAGGGTGCCCTCGCACCGTGTCCAATGCTGCCACCTCGTTGTGACTCGACTCACGAGTTACCTGCCTTCCCAGCACCCACCCACCTGTTCGTCCTCTATTGTCTCCACGAGTTGCACAATATGAGGGTGCCCTCGCACCGTGTCCAATGCTGCCACCTCGTTGTGACTCGACTCACGAGTTACCTGCCTTCCCAGCACCCACCCACCTGTTCGTCCTCTATTGTCTCCACGAGTTGCACAATATGAGGGTGCCCTCGCACCGTGTCCAATGCTGCCACCTCGTTGTGACTCGACTCACGAGTTACCTGCCTTCCCAGCACCCACCCACCTGTTCGTCCTCTATTGTCTCCACGAGTTGCACAATATGAGGGTGCCCTCGCACCGTGTCCAATGCTGCCACCTCGTTGTGACTCGACTCACGAGTTACCTGCCTTCCCAGCACCCACCCACCTGTTCGTCCTCTATTGTCTCCACCAGTTGAACAATATGAGGGTGCCCTCGCACCGTGTCCAGCGCCGCCACCTCGTTCATCACGTCCTCTGCATCATCCTCGCTCTGATGTTGTGCCACGGTGCCATGCATCCATCCAAACACATGCCATGACATGCCCCACGCCATGACACATGCCGTGCCGCATGCCATGACACATGCCGTGCCGCATGTCGTGCACCATGCCATGTCATGCCATGTGAAACATACATGCACGCACTATTCCAGGACATTCGTACATCAGAATCCTTTATGAACATGGCCGTGGATTCAGACTGAGATGAAGAAGCACGAATTATAAGAAAAAAAGAAAAAGAAAAGAAAAGAGAAGAACTAAACTTGTAACATGACAACTTTATGACAATAATCTTCTCACCATGATGTTTGCTTTCTTGATTACTTTACACGCCATGTACTCTCCTGTGTGCCGCTCCCGACACACTACCACATCACCAAAGTACCCCCTCCCCAGCACCTCCCCCACCATCTCGTATCTCTCCTCCACCCGCTCCAACGGCCGGCCAATCACGTTCCGCCACCTGTCCGCCGCCCTTCCATCACCACCACTGCTTCTCTCCTCCTCACCCATCCCAACCCCCATCTGCTGCATCTGCTCCTCCCCATGCCCCCCCCTGCCACGCCTCGAATCCCACCCCTGCTTCGGAGGCGCCTCGAAAGCCGTTCGTTGCGCCCCGAACGCTTTCTGAGGTGGCTCATAGGAAGCCTGGCATTCCTGCTGCTCGTGCCCCATGCCATGACTCATGTCACTCCCCATTCTGCCATGCTGCCCTGCTGCTGCCATCATACCTAACCCATATGGAGTTTGGGATTCCTGCTGCTCGTGCCCCATGCCATGACTCATATCGCTCCCCATCCGGCCATGCTGCGGATGCCCCGTTGCTGCCACCATCCCAACCCCATGCTCCATGCCATAGCCCATGCCTTGCCCCATGCCTTGGCTCATATCGCTCCCCATCCTGCCATGATTGCCTGTTGCTGCCATCAATTCGACACCATGCTCCATGCCATAACCTGTGCCTTGCCCCATGCCTTGCCCCATGCCTTGCCCCATGCCGTGATGACGTGGCGATGGGGCCGTGTAGTATGCTGGAGGCATGTGATTGGCCGGCGATGCATGTTGTTGCGTGGCGGCATAATGGGGAGGGGAGACGTGATTGGGCGGTGGGAAGACGCGATCGGCCGGCGGCGAGACATGATTGGGCGGCATGCAGATGTTGTTGGGCGGCGAGACACGGTGCGGGGTGGAGATTTGATTTGCATGACGATGTGGCGGCGACACGAAGCTAAGATTGTGTGGCAGGGGATGCTCCGAGGCCGATGCTAGCTGGGCGGCATGTTTGCCGTGATCCAACGACTGTGATCGCTTGTACTGCTGCTCCATCTGACGGTCGAAAACTTCTCCTTCATCCCGTTCCGGCTGCAAGGGCAGCTGCAGCTTCTTCTTAATCTTCTTCACCTTCTCAACCTTCCCTTCCTTTTCCTTCCCTTCCTTCTCCTTCCCTTCCTTCTCTTTCCCCTCCTTCTCCTTCACCTGCTTTTTCACCTGTACTAATTTCTTCCCCTTGCCCTCCTTCCCTTCCTTCCCTTCCTTCCCCTCCTTCTCCTTCTCCTCCTTTGCTTTCTTCTTGACCTTCTTAACCTTCTCACCCTTGACTTTCCCCTTCTTACCCTTCCCCTTCACCTCCTCCTCCCCATCCTGCACCATCCCACCACCTAACTCCCTGAAAGCACCACTCACCCCTCCAGCTCCATCCATCCCTCCCTCCTCCTGCCCACCCACCCAAGATCGCCTTTCCTCCTCCTCCTCCTCCACCTCCCACGCCCTCTCGCGTGACTCATCTCTTCCTTGCTCCTTAAACCCCTGTGCGTGTGAGTAAGAGTTTCTTTCCCTCATCCCATGCTCCCGCCCGTTCACATCAAGGGCTATGGCATCTGCAGCTACAGCTATTGCAACATCATCATCATCAGAATCATCATCGTCTTCCTCCTCCTCCTCATCATCCAAATCACGATGCTCCTCCTCCTCCTCCTCCTCCTCCTCCTCCTCCTCCTCCTCTTCTCCCTCCCCTTCCCCCCTCTCGCCTTCTCTTCGCATTCTCCCCACATCCTCACCACTGTACACCCCGTCTCCATTATAACCCTTACTCCTATTGTAACCCTCATTCTGATTGTAAGACTCGGTTCTATCAAAGCTCTTGCTGTCATTGAAACTGTCGTCCTCGTTATAAGCATGGTCGTTAGAGTCATTGTATCGATCGATCTCGTTGTATCCCCCATTGCCTGCTGCCCTAAACCCATTTTTCCTGTAACCGCCATCTTGATACCCCTCTTCTTGCGCCTGGTGCTGCTGCCTTCGCTGTTCTTGCTGCTTCCCTTGCCCTAACCCTTGCTCTCTCTCTCTCTGTTGCCCCCATTCGTCCCTTTCTCGCCGACCCCACTCATCCTTCTCCTGCTGCGCCTCCCATAAGTCCCTTTCCCCATCGTCCTTCTCCTCTTCCTCCTCCCACAACTTCCTTTCCTTCTCATCCTCTTCCTCCTCCAACTCTACCTGCTGCTGCCCTTGCCTCTTCTGCTGCTTCTGTGATGGCTGCTCCTGCCACCCATCCCTTTCCTCATCCCCCATGCCCTCGTCCTCCTCCCATAAATCCCTTCCCTTATCCCCCTTCTCCTCTTCCTCCTCCCATAAATCTCTCTCTTTCTCCCCCTCCTCCACCTCCTCCTCATCCTCCTCCTCCTGCTGCTTCTGCAATCGTTGGTCCTGCCTCTGCTTTTCCTTAGTCGAATTTCTTGCAAGAGCAGGGGGTGTGGCTACTGGAAAAACATCCTCCTCCTCCTCCTGCTCCTCCTCCTCCTGCTCTTCCTCCTCCCTCTCATCTTTCCCTCTCTGTCCCTCCATCCCCTCCCTCCCTTCCTCCCTTTCCCTCTCGTCCCTCCCTTCCCTCCCCTCCCTCCCATCCTCCTCCCCATACTCCTCCCCATACTCATCCCAACCCCCATCCGATCTCGAGTCACGTTCTGCAGAGCTCCCATCACGCCCTGCCATCCTGCTACGAAAATCCTCGTTATAAGGCGACCTGAAAGGAGATTCCTCACCGTAATCATCGTCATCATCAAAATCACCATAAAGGTCATCGTTGCCAGCTGTCGCCGCATGACTGGCTCCACCGAATCCTCTGCTCCCCTTGGCGAAAGCCGAAGCTGCTTCCCCTCTCTCGTCCCTCTCTCCATCACTCTCCCCTCCTCCATCCCCCTCCTCCCCCCATTCCTTGTCCCCTTTCTCCTCCTCCTCCCCTCCCTCACCACCGTAGTCCCTCTCTCTCCTCCCCTTACTCTCGTCCTTTCTTCGGTAACCCTCCTCCTCCTCTCCTTCCTCCTCTCCTTCCTCCTCTCTCCTCTCGTCCAACTCCTCCCCATAGACTTCTCGGTCCTCCTCCCCACCCTCATCTTCCTCCCCTCCGCACGCCTGCACTCTCCCCCTCTCCTGCCCCTGCTCGCCCCCTTCATTCCGCCAACCCCCATCCTCACTCGCCTCCTCTCCTTCTCCTCCCCTCCCCCTCTCCCCCTCCTCTCCTTCCTCTTCCCTCTCCTCCTCATCCATTTCATCCCTGCTACCTCGTCTCCAGACCTCGTTCCGTTGCTGCTGCTGCTGCTGCACCAGCAGCTGCTGCTGCTGCTGCTCTAGCTGCTGCTGCTGTTGCGCCTGCTGTTTCTCCTGCTGCTTCTTTTTTCCAGGAGTCTTAGCCCCATCCCCGCTACTCGTTACAGTGCTATCTCGCCCGAAGCCCAGCCCTTTAGGAAGAAATCTCAGCGCCTTGGCATATACACCCTCCCCCACATGCAACCCCCGTCGGTCCTCCGAGTGAGACCTCCGCAACCCTAGCCCCTCACTCTCCTCCTCGCGCTTCTTCCCCTTCCCCCCTCCCCCTCCCGCTCCCGCTCCTGCTCCTACTCCCGCTCCCCCTTCCCCCGACGCTCCTCCTGCTCCGCCACCCCCGGGGCTCTGCCCCCCCACCCCGCCTCCCCCCGCGCCCCCCTTCCCCGCCTGCTGCGGCTTCCCCACAGCGCTCTTAGAGCGCACCAGCCGCCGTTCCACAGACGTCTCTAGCAGCGCCTTCGCCTTGCGGTTCGTCTCGTCCGCGCCCCGCCCCCCTCCTCCCCCCGCCTTCCCGCCTTTCCCGCTAGCCCCGCTCTCTCCCCGGCTCTTTTCCTTAGCTTTCTTACCCGGGGTAGCCTTTTTAGAGTCTAGGGGAGGAGGGGGTTTGCTGTTTCCCCAATCCTGCGAGTGGGAGTTGGGATTTCTCCCATATCCTGAACTCTTCTCAGCCGCATGTTCCGTCCAACGTGGCGGCAATCCCTTGGTCGCTGTGCCGCTCCCTGCGCTACACGATCCTGGGAATGCTGACGTGGCAGGCTTGACTAGTGAAGGGTCTAATCCACCGACGCTGTTGAATGGGGTTGCGCCGGGGGGAGGGAGAAAGTACACGTCAGCACCGTCGCACTCGGATCGGCGAAACCAAGTGACGACTTTAACGGTCGACCTAGCGATCTCGTGTTCAATTTCTGCCAGTTCTGCCGCCGAGAATTGCGGGTAGTCGTCAGAACTTGATTGCTGGCTCCGCGATCGGTTCATTCTCATTGGTCCCTGGCCCTGACCTTGATTCTGTGCGCGGGAATGACACTGATTGGTTCCGCCTTGTCCTTTCAAATAGGCGGGAGACCCGCGCATATCCGCGGAAGGGTTGCGCATATCGGCGGACGACGTGCGCGTATCCGCGGAGCAGTTCCGCGAGTCTACGGCTGGCGGAGCCCCCTGGGAGCGGGTTCGGCGGAAGTCCCCCGAGTCGAGGCTGGAGTACCGCGGTACTGCCACGACTCGCTTCGACATTATGACAATTAGATGTAACTCGCTAAGTTTATTCTAAACGTCACTGTAAACGAGGCTGGAATACAGCTGAGCTGTTACCAATTGGTTCGCCACCATGGCTATCGGAATGCGAAATGTTATGAGGTTACTGACTACGTCACCTTGCGAAGGAATCTGATACAAACATTATTTTCATACCTTGCCAATGTAATGGCTATAGTCGAAGTTAGCTCACGGATAAATAGTCTGCCTATCACGCGACGAGCCGCAGAGTCTGCATTTTAAAAGAGTTAACACACGCGTTATTTGACACTACATACGCGTATTACTCACAGCGATACCCTGACTTACGATCGTGACATGCACTGAGACCACCCAGGAGGATGTTGGAAGCTAGCTAATCATCTATGACTTCCGCAAGCAGAAGCCCAAGCAGAACTTCCAAGATAAGTAGGTTCGTACGTTTTTACTTACGGAATGTCCTTCCAGCCAGCTCATGCGATAAATCGCTTCCGTTCAACACCCATCCTAACCGTTTTAAATTCTAGAGAACCACGCAAAACAACTCATCTAGCTGGCTGGTTACGGGAGTGAAATGAACACTTTATCCGTGATGACTAGCACTTATCCGTGCCCCATCAGTGAACCCATCGGGAATGATGTGACGAGGACTCATCCAGGGCGGAAAAAAATGCAGCGCATTCCGAAGTGGGTCGCATTCAAGGTATGACGAACAGTAGGAATAAGCAATTGGAGGATTGTCGCGTAATGTTTTTTAATCTGCTGCTGAACTCTTCCCCTTCTCTGAGTCACGGCATTAAAATCTTCTAGGCTGCTTCCAGAATTTCAACAGAAACGGGAAGTGAAACAGTTTGCAATTCACGAGTTCGCACGCGCTCTGTTAGAGATCACACGTTGGTAGCTAGTTCCTGGCCCATCTCCCTGGCTCCCCTCGCCTCTTGTTTCAACTGGTTACCATTCAATGCGATTTCAACGACAAGCTACGAAAGTTGACCTCCAATGCAGTACAGTAACTGTCGCATGTGGGGGGAGGGGATCCTCCCCGGCAACAGTCAGGTTGTTGGGAGTTTGTCCGCTTACCCATTTTGCAAAGCGCTGCGCTGCGAGGCCAAAGCCCTAGGAATGACGTGGCAGGTGTGCTGGCAGTAGACGGCCCACAACACCCACCATTTTTAGCATGATACAGTTTCCGCATCATTCTCACCTCAGGCCTTCCCAAAATGATTTTCTAGGGCGGGAAATGGTGTTTCGTTATGCAATGGAGCGCTAAATAGTTTTGAATGTCTTCAACACTATCATTAACTCCTGTCTTGACAGCAAATTTGAGCACCTGTTCTCATCTGTTACGAGTGCAATGGAGTGAGCGAGCGAGGATTGCACTATCGAGACAAGAATAAATCGAGCGAAGGATTGAGATAAGAATACATAGCGAAGCTACAGTGGTAACGGTAACGTGTGGAAATTGGGGTGCGCGACGGGCCGAGGTTGGGGAGTGTCGAGGCAGAGGTCCGGAGCGCGGGTTACCAACCGAACCGTGAGGTTGGGTCGCATCGTGAACAGTGGCGGGAATGGTGCCGAGGCGAATGTCGCGAGTGGTAACGGATTACTGTGGGGTGCTGTTGGCGGGAACAGTAGTGTACGCGCTTAGCAGGGACGCGAAGTAAGGAAAAGGGAAATTTCCTTACACTACCACCCCCCTTAAGGAGGCCTTTCTTACAAAAGCGCGTGTCCCTGAAATTCCGACTGCGCAGATACTCGGTGAGGACGGGGTGGTTTTCGATTCTGTCCAGGGGAACCCAATTGTCATCGGTGGGCGTGCGGTCTTTCCAGCGGATCAGAAATTCGACTCGTCGAGCTCCCCGTGGGTCACGAACTCGGTGGCTTAGAATCTTCTCGGGCGTGATGACTGGTTCTGTCGGCGGTCGTGTCATGCTGGCTGGGCGGTTGCGGGCCAGTTGGCTGGTGGATGTGACGTAAGGGCGAAGCAGGCTGACGTACCAGTCAGCAGGGAGGAGGAGGTGGGCGGTGACAGGTGTGATCATGTGGCTGATGCGGAATGGCCCGCAATATCGGGGGCGGAGTTTCGAGGTTATGGGAGTGTCGAGTAAAATTAGGTCGTCGGGCTGGTAAGTGAAAGGTCTGCGGTGGCGGTCGGCGTTGCGCTTACCGATGACGTTGGCTTTTTTTATTGCCTCAGCTGCCCTGGTTCGTGCTGCTTGTAATATTTCGGCGAACTGTTGCGCACGTGGTACTGGATTGTCGGGATTCGGGGTCATGGTTACTGTAGGGTCTTGTCCGTAGTTCAGGTAAAACGGTGACTGTTGGGTTGTGGCGGATGGCGAGTTGTTGTACGCAAATTCGATGAGTGGCAGCTGCTGTTCCCAGGTGGTCGGATCGTCACACGTGGCTCGGATTAACTGTTCCATGGTCTGATTTGTCCGTTCTGTCTGTCCGTCGGTTTCGGGGTGGTACGAAGAACTAAATTGCAGTCTCGTGCCGAACTGCTGCCACAGGTTCCGCCAGAAGTTGCTGGTGAATTTCGTGTCGCGGTCGCTGATGATCGTTGTTGGTATCCCGTGTAGTCGAACGATGGTTGAGATGAAGAGGCGGGTTGTTTCTTCGGCTGTGATTGATTTTTTGCAGGCTGCGAAATGTGCCATTTTTGTCAGCCGATCGACGACGACCAGGATCGCGTCGTTCCCACTTGCTCCGGCCGGTAACCCCGTGACGAAGTCTATGTCAGAACATATAGTGCTTACATTTGTGTAGGCTATAGTGGGGTAGCCCATAAGGGGTACAACCCAATTAGGGTTAGCACTTGTACCCAACTGTTTCAGAGTTCATTCATTCTCGTTCATTCTCTTGACATGGTTTCAGAGCAGGTCCTCCGCTAGAACCGGTTTTTTTTTCCTTGGGCCCACCACTGCACTGCCCTTAGCGACCCTCGTGTCGCCCCTTCGCCCGTCGCTCCTAGGCCCGTTGCCCCTAGCTCGGCCCGTAGGCCCTAGCCAGCGCGACCCTAGCCCGGCCCGTCGCCTCTAGCCCGGCCCGTCGCCCCTAGCCTACGCGCGCCCAGCCCTTCGCCCCTAGCCTACGCGCCCGGCCCATCGCCCCTAGCCATCGCGCGCCCGACCCGTCGCCCCTAGCCTACGCGCCCG